AATATATGCTCATGAAACAAGACATCCATGTTAACAAAAATTTTACGAGTGATCAAATTGAGAAGAGTATAGCCTTTTTGAGTATAAGAATAACCCAAAAACACAGAGGGAACAACTCTTGGTGAAAACTTATCAGATTCATAAGGTACAGTGGCATAACAAAGGCAACCAAATATTCTAATATAGGACAAATTAGGAATTTTATAAAAAAAGAACTTCAAATGGAGTTTTCCAGTCTAATACAGAGGATGACAACCTATTAATAATGTGACAGGCAGTCTCAAGACAGTCTCCCCAGAACTTTATAGGCACATTTGAATAGAACTTTAGGTCTCTAGCTACCTCAAGCAAATGCTTATGTTTTCTTTCAACAATACCATTTTGTTGAGGTGTTTAGACACAAGAAGATTGATGAGTAATACTTAAAGAACTAAAAAGAGCAGAACATTCAATACTGAAGAATTTTGAGCCATTGTCACTTCTAATAGTATGAACTTGAGCAGCAAAATGAGTATTATGTAAGAAAAAACAGACTTTAGATGAAGGATAGCATCAGATTTAAGTTTCAGCAAGTAAATTCAAGCATCCTAGTGTGATCATCAACTATTGTGAGAAAAAACCTATGACCAGAATGAGTAGACACTCTATAAGACCCCATAAGTCAATATGTATAAGATGAAAAGGTTTATCATACATATAGGAACTAGAAGGTATGTTGTTTAGCTTGAGGACAAATAGTACAATCATACACTCAAGTTTTGTCAAGTTTAGAAGCAGAAAACATAGGCAATTTATGTATTTTTAGTAAAAGTTGCATGCCCCAATCGAACATGCCAAGTGTCAGTTTTATTATCAGAAGAAAATGACATACAAACAGAATCAATAAGTGAAGAACAACAGGAATTCAAAATAGATGATGAAACAAAGAACTCAAAAAAATACATACCACCAACAGCCCTACAAATCCCCTAAATCTTATCATTGGAGAGGTCCTGTAAAAGGAAAAAATTGGGGTAGAATCAATTGAACAATGAAAATATTTGGATAATTTTAACACTGACAATAAATTATGAGTGAAATGAGGTACATATAAAACATGTTGCAACTCATGAGTAGAATCTAAGAAAATAGAACTCATATGTGTAATAAAAGATGTTTTACCATTGGGAAGATGAACAAGACGTTGAATAGAAGTACAATCAATAGGATTATTCAAGAATTGAGGATCAGATAAGACATGATTAGTTGCTCTAGAATCTAAAATCTAGGTAAGAGACCTAACAGTTGCAGAGTGCTTACCATCAACACCAGCCATGTTGACAACAGATGGCTTGTTAAGAAGCTCCAAAATCTGACGATATTGATTTTGAGTGAAGACTGAAACCAAAGGTGCTACAGACACGAGAGCATGAGGAGCTGAAGAACCAGAAGTAGAATTAGATTGTGAACCCTCCAAATTAACATTCAAGGCAGTAGGAGCATTTTTTATGGCCGAACTTAAAATCAGTAGGAAAAACGATCAAACGGTAACATTGGTCACATTTGGGACCTTTGATCCCACAATGATTGTAATTGCCTTAAAAAACGCCTACGAGATCCCGAAGAAATCTGATTAACAGAAGAAACAGCCGAAGAACCGAAAAACATCGCAGATGAATCACAAATGGAGAAACGCCAGAAAGATGACGACGTTGCGACTCTTCTTGAATAAAAAAAAAGAATATGCATGATTAACAAATGTGACCAATGAAAATAGATGATGAAACAAAGAACTCAAACAAATACATACCACCAACAACCCTACCAATCCCCTAAATCTTGTCATTAGAGAGATCCTGTAAAAGGCAAAAATTGAGGTAGAATCAACTGAACAATGAAAATATTTGGATAATTTTAACACTGACAATAAATTATGAGTGAAATGAGGTACATATAAAACATGCTGCAACTCATGAGTAGAATCTAAGAAAATAGAACTCATATGTGTAATAAAAGATGTTTTACCATTGGGAAGATGAACAAGACGTTGAATAGAAGTACAATCAATAGGATTATTCAAGAATTGAGGATCAGATAAGACATGATTAGTTGCTCTAGAATCTAAAATCTAGGTAAGAGACCTAACAGTTGCAGAGTGCTTACCATCAACACCAGCCATGTTGACAACAGATGGCTTGTTAAGAAGCTCCAAAATATGACGATATTGATTTTGAGTGAAGACTGAAACCAAAGGTGCTACAGACACGAGAGCAGGAGGAGCTGAAGAACCAGAAGTAGAATTAGATTGTGAACCCTCCAAATTAACATTCAAGGCAGTAGGAGCATTCTTCTTATGGTCGAACTTAAAATCAGAAGGAAAAATTATCAAACGGTAACATTGGTCACATTTGGGACCTTTGATCCCACAATGATCGTAATTGCCTGAAAAAATGCCTACGAGATCCCAAAGAAGTCTGATTAACAGAAGAAACAACTGAAGAACCGAAAAACATCGCAGATGAATCACAAATGGAGAAACGCCAGAAAGATGACGACGTTGCGACTCTTCTTGAATCAAAAAAAGAATACGCATGATTAACAAATGATAATGGTTGACTGAGCAACAAATGGCTCTGAATGGCTGAATAAGTGTCATTCAAGCCCATAAGGAATTAGAAGAGGTGTTGGTGCTGAATGTGCTGAAGAACTTGTTGCGAATTTCCACAATCACAGGAAAGAATAGGAACTAGGGCAGGATATTCATCCCAAAGCAACTCAATCGAGTAAAATAAGTTGAGATAGACGAATCGCCCTGAAATAATCGAGTAATTTCTTGATGCAAAAAATATATCCGAGATCCATCCACTTTATGAAACCGCTCCTTCAAATCCTTCCAGACAAGAGCGGCACTACAGGCAAAAACGATGCCAGCCGAAAGCTCATTGCCCACAAAATTAAGGATCCAAGAGAGAACAATTGCGTCACAACGATCCCACTAAGGATGCAAAATCGGCTCGAAACTATCTTTGGAACAGTCAACATCAATGAATCCAAGCTTATTCTTCACAATGAGAGTGATGCACAGAGAACGACTTCAAATCGTGTAGTTCTAAATCCCAATCAACTGATGAGAGATAAGCGGGGTACTACGTAAAGATTGTAATATTATTATAAAACTGATACCATGTAAAGACTGTAATATTATTATAAAACATATACATTTTATTCCACTTAACATAAACTTACAAAAGAAGGTATTTATACAAAGCTAAGCAACTAACTACCTAACCAATTTACAAACAGTTAAGTAACAAACTAACTACTAATCTCAACATCTTCGCATCCCTACAATAACACTGAGTCAGTGAGACAGTGATCGGAGCGTGAACGAGCTGACTGAGTTAGAACGGAGGAAATGGACCACACCAGGCGAAATCGTCGGCGGCTGAAACCGGCTTCAAAACCTCTCGCTTAGTAACTAAGGAGCTCTCGAGTAGCAAGGCGGGCCTCAGTTGCCTTCCCCAAATGACGTTCCCACCTTCACTGACGACTCCGATCGGCTCCACTGAAGCGAATGACACATTGACTCTCCCTTGCGAAAGCTTCGATCTGAGATGAGGTAAGCCGGCGAAAACGGAAGCGCGTGACAACACTCGCGACTCTATTGCTAGAGAAAGACAGAGCGAGAGAGAACAAAATGTGTGTATGTTAGCAAGAGCGAGCTCTTAATGGATGGAGCGAAATTAAAGATTTAACTTCCATTTTTTACTTTTTGTGGTTATCAAGTTTCAAACAATTACATCATTTTATTCCACTTACAACGAAGCTCAGGACATTATAATGCGACCTCTTAGTTGATCACGTTAACCAAGATTATAACATGAAGGGGATTATTGATCAACGGTGTAGAATCAAATATGCTTGGATGCAGCGTAGGCATCTCAACTCTGAACAGGCTAATATTTTGAATTTTTATTTTGACAAATAATTTTTTTTATACCTGAATCAATTTTATTTAATCAAAAAATATAAATAAATCACATTAACATTAGATTGAATATCTAAAACTTTTGTAGAATTGAAATTTAAATTACTCAAATTTTAAAATAGAATTGTGAGAAGACAAAATGATATTGGAACTTGATGATGATGTTATAATATGAGTGCTTATAAATACAGGTTTAACAATAATGACTTTGATGTTGTGTGTGTGTGTTTTCTTTAAGATGATTCGAGGGTGACATTGACATCAAGTTTGTGATAGTGCAAAATTTGTTAGATACATCAACTTCATAGATCTTCTAATGAAATTCTTAGAAATATTTCAAGAGAGAATAGTTTCCTATTTAATCAATAAAATCACTCAAATAAATTCTATTTTTTTAACATGTTTAAATATAGAATTCGAGTTTGGATTTGATACCAACAAGCTTAAACTTCACACTAAATTTTGATTAAAAAGATATTCAAGGTCAGCTACACTAAATTTGTCTAATTAAGGAACCTATTTTACCTAATAAAGTTTAGGGGCCAAATTAACCATACTCACCAAGTTTAAGCATCATTTTGTGTTTTAAGCTTTTTGGTTACCTTCTTTACCAAGAAATGTTATATGAATTTACGTTTGTTGTACGGAATATGAAGAATGAAGAATGAAGAATGAAGAATGAAGAATGAAGAATGAAGAATGAAGAATGAAGAATGAAGAATGAAGAATGAAGAATGAAGAATGAAGAAATTGGTAGTTTTTGTTTGATTAAAGGATCTATTTCACTTAAAAAAGGTTTAGGGGCAAAAAATTCATCATATTCATCGAGTTTAAGGATATATTATATGAATTTATGTTTGTTGAATGGAATAGTAAGAATGTAGAATGATAATAAAGACTATATGTACTTTAATATAGGGAAGGATGAATTTATAAAATTTTAAAAATAGAAATAAATTATTAATAAAAATATAAATATAATAATTAAATTATATAAAAAATTAAAAATTTAATGACTACCTCCATCCATCCGTGAATGATAAAAAGTAGTTTTTAGGCATGGAAACATAGGAATATATACGTATACATAAGCATGTATAGTTGTTCTATTCACATGTATATCATAATGAAAGGTGTGGGGTGGGGGGAGCGGAATGGCTAATTCGCTGACAGGGGAAACCCAATTCCATGGCGTGTAGTAGGAAAAACAACAAACAACATACTCCCCAAAACCCCTATCCCAACAGGCAACGCCGTGAGTATCTCTCGAGCCTCACTCGACTGCACCGGATAAAAGCAACTCACCACATTCTGATCAAACAGCGCCACCGCCGCAAACACCATTATCGACATGAAAGCATGGACGAAATCGATGAACCTTAGCTTATATTTCGCCGTGGATTCAGGCGGGAGCGTGGCCGAACCATCGATCACCCACAGACCCTTGATCGTGGCCAAACCGTAGCACACATTCCCATCCTTGTCCCTGAAACTATCCGTGAAGTTGGAAACGAAACACGACAGACCGCAAAGGAATACGAGGGCGGCCGTCATGGACCGCCCCACGTAGTCGCAGTCGCCTTGGTTGGTGAAGATCGGCGAGAGGAGTTGGAAAGCGAGGACGGTGCCGGTGGGTAAAAGATTAGCCAAATGTGCTGTGCTTTGGAACGTCTGACTTATCGCTTGCTGTATGAGCGTTTTCCTTTCGGTTTCTGGTGTTTCTGCCAAATTTCGCAGAAGGGGTGTTTTGTGTTCGCCGTGTTCGTGGGTCGACTCATCACCTTGGAACTTAATCTCCATAGCTGAAAACCTTCTAAATTTCTTTGATTTTCTGAGAGACTTCTGTTGAATTACTGTATATATAGATTATTATTATTATTACAAGAGGTTTAAGACTTGAAGTAGATATGTTTTTGAGTATGGGTAAAGGGAGGGAAGAGAAATAGAAGCAATGCCTTGCAAGGAAAAGAAACCAAAATATATTATAGATAATGTAATCACTTTAATTGAACGTTTCAACAAAATTTTATTTGGATCTCTTTAATATTTTGTGTTTTTTATTGGATTGAATAGGATATTTACTTCTAAATCGAAGCGTTATGAAATAAAAAGCTTGTGGGACAATGTAAACGAAGACAAGGGATTCTCGTGTTGGGTTGCAATGGACCGACTTTATAACGAACAAGATCTTTGGGTTTCCAACGAGAATTGTGTTGCTTAGGGTAATGTCAGCGTAACGTAACATTTTGTTGCCGAGACGCAATATACGTGAACAGGCTAATCTTCTATAGGGAACTTTCCTGTTTGCTATTCCTTTTTAATGCTTGTTATAGAGGCTATATCTGCAATTGTAAAGATGCTTATTTCAAATATTTGTCATGGTATTTGCCCAAAATCTATTTGCAAAAAATGGAAATGAATATAGTCATCGCTTGCACGTTTTACTTGTAGATCAATGGGGGGCTCGGGTGGACGCCATTTTCCTGCCTAATGTGATTCTAACCGATCCATAACAAATGTGTTAAAAAATACATTATAGTAAGGTACAAAATAAATGCACAAACTATAGCGTTTTATACAAATAGGTGTCTAAAGTATTTTTTGACTCATCTCGGTGCCCAAAGTTACCACTTTAGGTGTCCGGATTGTCAACGGTGTTAATTTCCACGTTAAGTGACACATGTCACATTCTAGTGATTTTAAAAAATTTATTTAAAATTAAAACAATTAAAATTATATGCTTTAAAAAAACATAAAAATTTTGAATAATCTCAAGACTTTGAAAACCTTCATTTCAACCCCTAAACCCACGTCGACTGTCGCCATTTGCCATCGACAAAGCTCTATATGACCTCACCCCCGACGAGTAAAACTCCTATGAAATCGTGACCGATCGACAACGAATCAACGTTTTATACCCCACAAACCCTATGATGAAAATCGCGATCTCATACGATTCTGACGACCAATTGGCGGCAACTACAATGGTGTATGCCTAGAAGGATGGAAGGACTACGTCGGCAATGATGGTCATGGCCGAAAAGGTGAACGGGGTTAAGGTTAGGATTTAAGGGTTTTAGGGGTATGGTTTTTTTTAATAGTTTAAGAGAAATTAGTGGTTTTTTTAATCAATTTAATAATGTTTTTAATATTTTTAAAAAATAAATTTCAAAATCACTAGATTTTGACACGTGTCACTTAACGAAAGAAAATTAACACCGTTGATGGCTTAGACACCTAAAATGACAATGTTTGTAACGCTAGGCATCAAGATGAGTAAAAAAAATACTTTTGATACCTATTTGTAAAAATCGGTATAATTTGAACATTTATTTCATATTTAAGTCTTATATTAAATATCATTAATTTTTAAATTTTATATTATCATATTTGTATTATTTTAAATTTTGCATTGAATTATAATTTCGGGTTCAGACTGTTAAATCGATAACGATGTGATCATGTTACAATTAGGATAGTTTGCTTCTAGATTTCAAATTTTCATAATTGTATTTGATAATTTAAAGATAAAAATCTCGTCCTTCTTTATTTACTTTTTGTTTTAAGCTTCAAGCAAAGCAAGGAATTGCTTAAAAAGTATGCAGATGAGCAAAATTTTTCATTTTTGGATTAACTTAGAAGTCTATTTTGCGTTGTTGGTCTCCATCGAGTTCCAACTTTAAAAACATAAATACAAACCAACAGAAACTGGGTTGCCCATTTACAAGATGCAACTCAACAATGACCAAACCCAGCCCATACTGCAATATATACACTTGTCCTGAGTAGAGATGGTAAAAAAACTTATGCCCATACATTTTGATCCGATTCGATCTAATATAATTATGTTCTTTTTGTTGGAATTTGGGTTTTAGGACGGTTTGGATTTAATATTTTTCTTTAAGTTTAGCCAGTTTGGGGTCGGTTTCAAATTTAGGAAGAATCCTCCAAAGTTTTTAGAAATTATAATTAAACGTCTAAAATTTTTGAAAATTTTAAGTAAATCCCTCAAACTATATTATCAAGATCAGTCACTATCTATGACACTCGACACCGTCATATGAACCGTCCCAAATATGGTTGGTCTTCTCAGTTGTATACTAACAACTCTAAATTGAGAGAATATAATGAAGAAGTTGATCCGAAATGGTCTTTAAGGTAGAATGTTTTTTTTTGATGCGGCATTGGCCATTGCGCAATCATTCAAATGTTGAGTTCAAAGTTAAATTTAAGTTTTACCCACGGGCACTTGATTTTGTGGGATGAGACACTAGATTTCTTAAATAAAGTCAAGGGTTCGAATCCTAACAATTGTAAATGAAGTAAAATTTAGTTGTGAGTAGGGGTGTTCAAAACTGGGTACCCGGTATTCAGGTACTAAAATGCCAGCCCATGACATTCGGGTACCCGTAAAACCTGGGTATCAAGTTCATAATTTTTTTTTATTTTTTAAATTATATTATTTTTTAATATATATATATAATTCTAAAATTTAAAATTTAAAATTGTATAATATATAATTCATACATAAAATTCAAAAATTCAAATTACATAATTGAAAAAAAAATATTAAATAAAAAAATAATTAAATTTTAAGTGTTTTGAAGTTAAAATAAATATTTTTAAAAAATAATTTAGAATGTTAATGTGAAATAATTAAAGAAATTAGGAATTTAGAATGTTAGAGTGAAATAATTTGAAAATTATAAATAAACATTTAATATAAAATAAAAATAAAAAGATATATAATAAATCGGGTACCAGGTCGACGGATACCCAGTTAAGTAACATTTTGTGACCCGGGCCCGACCCAAAAACCCAGAAAATTTAACGAGTCGGGTACTCAGCCCGGAAAATCGAGTATTTTCTAAATAAATACTCGATATTTTTTAACTGAGTCAGCGGGTAGTCGGATCGGGTCGGATATTTTTTAACACCCTTAGTTGTGAGAGTCGCCCTTATCTCTATAATATCTAATCTAAATTAGTTGATCAATAGATTAAATATCGATAATTATACTTAATTTTAAAATTATGTTTATATTAGCAACCTTTCATAGTCCACATCCACCTTTAATATACCTTTTCATTTCATATGATCCACCACGTGACTATTGGTAACATGATGATGCCCATGCATGTCTAAATTTCACATCCCGATAACAACACGCCTCATTGGGGATTCAAATACACACTTTTCTCTTTTTAAAAGGACTGATTTTAAATACGTATACTTGTTGAGGCTGGAACTAAGAAAGCTTAAAACTCCATGCTCTGGACAAAGAACCTCACACAAGGGGGGAGTCCCTCGTAATGCCTAGTCATGCATGCAAAAACATTAAGATTTGCATGGGATTCCTCATTGAGATAAATTATCTTTCGATCACATTATATAACACGTATCGAAACCTCTCGATTACTCAAATTACATCTCATTTATATAGAATGCCTATCTAGCGATGGTCTTATTATAGAAGATATAAATAATCTTAAATCCTAAACCTTAATTTCTTTCGACGACGACTTGAGTGAGAGAAGAGAGAGAGTTTGAAAAGGCTAGTTTTGTGATGACGTTCAACGTTGTGAGCTTAAAGGAAATGACTCAAATGAGAATGGTGGTAAAGGAATTAATTTCTTTTACTTTTACAGCCCCATCCACTACTCCCACCTTAAATCCAATGGGTGAAACCCTAAAAGCCACTTCATCCAAGGTGGGCCTCCTCCATCGCCAACCGGTTCAGATATATGCACCTTTTTCCCTCAAACTGCATGCTTGGGAAAAGTCGCAATGATGACCAAACCATTACCTCACTTTTTTTTTACAAAGGCTAAACAAATTTGTTGAATGAGGTCTATAATTCAAGATTATGACATTCTTGTAGATTGTATTGCAATCATGAACACCTCTTACATATTAAGACGTCATCTATTAAATGATTGCTCTATAAACTATGAACCTTATTTTATTCTCTTAGTTATATCATACACATTTTGAACAAATCAATTATAAACTAAGTAGTTTGTTCTTAGTCAACTACCTTATACATATAGGAATGAATCTAGGATTAGATATTGGGATAGAGCAATCTGAGCGACCGTTCAGGGTCTTCAATTTTTTTGTATTTATAATTAGGGCTTTCAATTTTTATATTTATAATTAAGGCCCTTGATTTTTATAATTTCATATTTTTTTAGTTTTTGACCCTCTTATTCCATTTCTCTTATTAATTTATCCAGTTTTGGATTAAATTAACCAATTTTTATATTTATAATTAGGATTCCTAATTTTTATAATTTCATAAAATATTTAGTTCTTGACCCTCTTTTTTCAATTTATCTTATTTACTCATTCGATTTAATCATTTTTCTCTTTTTTTCAAATCTTACTCTTCAGTTTATCAAATATACTTCAATTTGCAGTCTTCTTCATTCTCAATCCAGCAATAAAATAAAATATATATTTTTTATTATTCAAAATCAATCTATGTATCATACATACATTCATATATATATATATATATATATATATATGAAAAATAATTCATATAAAAAATGCTTGAAACTCGTTAAATAAAGTTTGCAATTAGAGTACGTGAATGGAGAGTATAACACTAGAGAAGATTATCTACCGATATAAAATTTAATTCAATTTAACTCTAAAATTAATTGAAAGTCTTTGCAACTTTTTGACGCAACATATGCAAAAGTTTATTTTTAGATAAAAAAAAATTAAAAGTTAAGGAAAGGTGTGAATGGGAGAAATGTAAAAATGAAGCATACGACGACAATTATGAGTGTGAGCCACCATTGATCTTTTAGTACTTTTTTTCAC